AGTATCAGAATAGGGCAAGACGAGAGGGGGAACCCGAGATACACAGGCGAAGAAAAGGACACGAGGAAACAGACAAGGCAAGACTAAGAAAAGAAAACCAGCTCCGTAGAGTAGCTATCGCTAAGAGAGTGATAAATGCTATACAATACTCGGCCGCTTGACGGGGATAAGAGTGAGTGTTATATAGGGAAGGTGTGATTGATGACAGCTGTGTGCAATCAGTGCTGTGTGCAATCAACTGTGTGTGTGTAATCAGTGCAATGGATGATGGGAACTGTAGTCCGGGTGAAGTGCAACAGTGGTGTGGTGCAAGAGTCCATAGTAGTGGAAGGGTGACCTCTGGTGGCAAGCAGACGGAAGTTCATGGACCGGATTCGTGACAGTATTTTACAAGTTTTTGTTACTTCCACTGTTCATTGTTTTGCTCTATGGTAACACAACAGAAGTGCGCTCTCTCTCTCTCTCTCTCTCTCTCTCTCGCTCTCTCTCTCTCTCTCTCTGTCTCCCTACCGTTAAGTAACTTGTGCATTGTTTTACTTACTTGTTTTTTACATATCCGCCCGAACTACAAACTTTCCAGTGATGTCTGTGAGAAAGGTATATTCACTCAACAAGCTTGTGCATCTGCGCCGCCGCGCGCTCAATCCACTCAGCGTGCTTTGCTAATCAGCTCACGCACATCAGTTATACAGGTGTTAATCGGTATCGGTGCATCCCTAATAAATAAAAAAAATAATATATATATACATATATATATTGATTTAGTGATGTTTAAGCCACTTCCTGTTATCTAGAGATCTCAAAAATGTCTCAAACTGACTTAGATCTCCCAAGAAATCAAAGTTTGCAAATAGAAGTCAAACAATAGATCAGATTTCAGTAACTTTTCCATCAAATTCTTTCAAGACCAAATGATCTGAATGGTCCACATTCAATTTATAGCTCTATTCTATAACAGTATGTCAAAAATTGTTTCATTTGATTCTATTTTATGCCTCATTGCTGAGTAACCCCGAAGCAATAACATTTCCACTGGGAGATCAAGCTAGTCTCAAAGTAGACTGATTTGAGAAGAATTGACTCAGACAAAAGGTGATTTGCAAAATGTTTTGAAGCCTAGGGGGGACCATCAACATCTAGAAGATCTTGCTTCATTTACTTCTTCTCACAGTATTCCTGATAAAGGAAGATTACTCATGGAGAAAGTGAGCAAACTTTTGATCAATACTACAGGATCGACAAGCCACTGCGAATATCACATGATCAGTCCCGTTATCTGAGCGAGCCAGCACATCCAGGCCAGGGTGTCGATGTACAGCTTTCATCAAAACAATCGATGATACGTCCATGAATCAGAGCCCTTGTCCTGAAATGGGTACACAACAATCCCATTAACTGCATCTGCAGGACTGAGGAAATGGTAGGCTACAGCTAGCTAATAGTGCTGTGGTGCAAAAAGTCAAGAAATAAAACCAAACTTATAAAACCTCTAACTTTGAAGAAGCTTTAGTCTACTTAAAGTCTACCTGATTCTGAATATATGCGAATCAAACATGCATTACTGCTCTGAAGGCTGAAATACAGTTACATGATGACCCTAGAGGCGCCCTGAAAATCTGCGTTAGAAAAATCTCTCGGTTACATTTAAGTATTCAGGATTATTCTGGTACCAAAAGTAAAAACTGCCGGCAGCACAAGTTATACACTGAGTGAAAAATGCAGACACAGGAGAATTTGTCTTATAATATACAAGACGCACTGAACTAAGAGTGGGTGGCAAATGTCTCCTGGCACTTTCCATGAAGAGGTTACAAAAAAGGTTTTAAACTCTAATTTTATTTATTTATTTATTATTAAAAATTTGTATGGTCATTCCTAACCATAGGAATATGTTTTCTGTCCACCATAGGAGGTCAAACAAAGTGTTTTTGTATTTCATTGTAATATAGTTGACATATCAATATAGTTGAATGATTCAACCCCGATTCCATTGTTATGTTTTTAGAAACAAACATGAAATAAACATTAAAAATAAATAAATAAATAAGAATAAATGGTAACAGTGTTGACATTTTTACCTAAATTGAGCTGTCATTCTGTTGGACGAGATAGTTTTGGACCAAACGTTGGATTGTAATTATTAACAATTTACATTTCCAATAAAATGAGGAAAAATATTCATGACGTCTTTGACAATCGAGACACCAATTTCTACTTTATTCATGGAAAATGGCTTATATCTTGAAAGGTTTTCCATCAACTCCCATTTCCAAAAAACATCCAGTTTTACGATACTTCCAGAGAATGACTTACCTTCACACTTTTCCAGGATATGAACCGTTTCTCCAAGCTCTAGAGTCAGACCATGTGACACTGATCCACGGAAACTACAGACCACTGGGAAAAGAGAAAAGAAAAACTAGTTAGAGGTGTATTAAAAGAGTTCGGAGAGAATGCATTCGAAATAAACCACAAAACAGAATGAAACGATTTCCCAAAACACTCCCCCTGTCTACCATTGGTCAGAAAGCCCCGCCCCCAACTCATGCTATTGGCAGAGTCTGTGTTGCCGTGTCAGGCTGGTTGTACTGCTCAAAAAACTGAAATTTGTTTATTGTGCCACGGAGACAGAATTTTGTCAGAATTTTGAGTTTATATCACGCAATTCCGACTTAACTCGCAATCTCACAATTCTGTGAAAAAGAAGTCAGAATTGTGAGATAAAAAGTCGCAATAACCTTTTTAATTAGTTTTTATTCAGGGGCGTAAATGTGCTTCCATAGCATATTAACAAAATATACAAAAGCAAAAAGAACAATAACAAAATATAATATTGCGAGGGAACTTCCCAATTAAAACACATCAGTAAATTCAACAGAGGTGAATAATTGTTGGCTTTCGTCAGGAGGGAGCTCTTTATGTTCTCCATACATTTGTTTTTCATCTGATGAGATCTGAGGAATGGCTCAATTCACTCGAAACTGTACATAAAAGCTGGAAATGTTGCTGTTGTTCAGGGATAAGCCAAAGATAAAGACAAAGCTGCTATTATATTCGGGTCATCTGTAGTCCATGCTTTTACCGCTGGGTTCAGTAGAATAAAATGGGTCTGTTTGCGTCTTTGTTTTTTTTGGGCCACATTGTTTTCTTCCTTGGTAAGTATATTTTCCTCCAAAATATAGTTACTATACTGTTATTATTACTCCAGTAACACTGTGATAACTTAGTATCAGCCACCACTGTCATAAAGGGTTTAATAAACAAAATACAAACATTTTAAAAGTTTTAATTGAAATTTTCACTCACATTGTTATGCTGATAACATAATTTATAATTGTCATATAATATGTTATTTGTAATAATGATTCAGCAGCACAGTATATGGCGCCATGGTGCCTCCACAGTGCAAATGGGTAGAGCAGCACAGTGGAAATAATAGGATTTATTTTCAATGAATGCATTCCAGAATAGCAAAAACTGATACGTGAGGGTTTAAAAGCAGATATATTCTGAATTGCCATGGTAACATGGACAGAGCATCCCAGGGAATTATCGAATCCATGCTGATGAAAAAGCTCATGCGCCTGAGAGCCTGGCTGATTCCAGTTTTCCAAGAGCAGATATTTTTCCGTAACCATTGCGGCATGGGCATCACATGGGAAAAGTCAACATGACATCAGAAATGACTTTCTTAAAACATATTCCTGGTCTCATTGTGTGCACTATTTAAATGAAAAAACTATAATCCATTATGAAAATACAACAATTTGCTCTTACTCTGAAATGACTTTCCTTTTCCATGCTGACTATTATCCAAAGCTTTCAAGTTCTGGCTCCATATCACCCAGTTTTAACAATCCAATCCATTCCAGATGGATAAAATGAAGTCTTGTTCTGCATTTCTTATTAATTATCCCATTTCACTCAATAAACTTGCAAATGGCTATTCATATTAACTTTAAGAGCAAAAAATTTAGCATAAACGTGAATGTGTGTAAAATAGAGATGCCTCTGAAGAGATATTTTTGAACAAAGCACATTTCTAAAATAAACCCCCTCCTTAGTCCACATGTAAATGCAGTTTATTCAGTCAAAATTTCCCCCAAACTGGAAAATAAGCCATCCGTTGGCCATTTCATTAGATAAGGATGAGATTATAATGCTCAGACAGGCAGACCAGCTGAAATACCCAGAACAAAGCTGAGTAATTTCTCTGAATCCATCTGTATTTGTGCAACATGATCCTGTCTAGCTTGTTTTGCTGCTGTACACAGACATCTGATGGGGCCAAATTGATATCCATGTCTGCTCTTTCCAACATCTCCTCAAGAAACAAACTGTTCACGGTGTTACGATGGAACCGGCTACATCGCTGGTCCAGGAAACAATTGAAGCATCCATGATTTATTTCGAACCGACAATGATTTAGATGACAAATATGATATTGCATGTTGCATACATTTATTTGTATACCATATTCCTTACTCAGACAGAACTACTCTGCCTGAGGAGCTGAATTAGTGTTTCACAGATTCTGAATGGTTCTCAATCTGAAAGGAGATACTGTATTCGTTATACAACAGTAGCTACAATTGCTTTTCTATGCAAAATACACTTTTTAGGAACTAAAATAATTAAATACCCAATCTGAGTAAACACTTGTCGATTTGGACTGAAGGAAATCAGCATCCGAAAGCAACAATGGATTACATTATCTCAATGGCGTTGTTCTCAAGACACCAAAATATTAGCATTAACAATTAGACACTGAGTGAACTTAGTGTCTTTCAGGATTTGTCATGTTCATTTACCCATTTCTGATGAAATTATACCGTTTGTTATTTAATTTCAAAGATCATGGTTTATTATTTAAAACTTGTTAGGAGGCTCCTTTTGCAGTTTCCAAAAAAACATGTGACTGCCGCCAGAGGTCTGCATTTAGTAAATAATTCAATAGCTATTAAAAGAGCGTTTCATGAGTTAATCCCACTAAAAGACTGAACGACATAAACAATATGTGTCTTGAATATGGAAGACTATTAATGGCATCAGAAATGGCATTGTGATGGCCCTAATGCTGTAAAACAAATAAAAAATGCTGGTCAGTTAATATGTAGGTCGCCAAGATGTCTGTAATAGAGCAAATCATGCAGAACGCATCTTAAAAATAGTGAAAACATCTATAACACAAAAGCAAACTCCCCAAAAACACACACACTGTATATACCGTAGTAAACATAGTAATTTACTATATAAACAGGGTTGGGAAGGTTACTTTTAAAATGCATTTCACTACAGATTACAAAATGCATGCTTTGAAAAGTATTTTGTAACGTATTTCCTTAGATTACTCAAGTTTAGTAACTTAATCTAAATACTTTGGAATACTTAAGGTACGGGGCATATTAACTTTGATGTCTTGTTTTTATGTTAACCACCTCTAAATAAAAATGGGTAATATGAATGCATTTAAAGCAATTATAAATATAATTATTTTTTTTTAAATATGAAACTAAAACTGCCAGTAGGTGGTCTTAATGAATGAGTCATGGATTCATTATATTAGTTCAAAAGAACTGATTCATTAAGTATTGAATCAAGTGATTTTATGAATGTAATTGAATCATTCTCTCAGCTGATTCGTTCAAAATGCAGATTCATTCAGGAACCAGACAGCACTAGGTTGTCACAGATGCGCAACTCTTCTGCTGTGTATTTAATTCCAAGGCAGTAGTTATTTGCATTAAGTGATAGATGCTACTTAAAGTTAGTGAAAATAGACACTCCGTATTTGGAACTATATTTGTTGGCGATATAGAGCAAATCAGACAATACTGTTCTTTAATGTAAGTCACTTAATAACTTCTTGTTTTTCAATTGCATAAAAGCAGTATCACAAATGCTGTCAGAATCACCAGCTGCCTCACTGGTTAAATTTGTTTTTACATTAAATAAAATAAATTACATTTAAATTCAACCGAATCACTTTGGTAATCTAAAATACTTTTCGGATGTAACTATAATTTGTTTACCACCCATTTAAAATGTAACAATATAACGAAATGCAGGTACTCATATTTTGTATTTTAAATACGTAATGTTACATGTATTTCGTTACATCCTCATTTGACATATTAGCTACTAGCCTAAGAAATGCTAACTTGTTACACAACAAAAATAAACACTTAACATCCAAAAACAGGCATTACAACATTATCATTTAGTATATAAACAGTTTTTTGTGACATATTTAACAACTAGGCTAACCAATGCAAACTTGCTACACAATAGAAATGGATTCTAAATATCCAAAAATAGGAATTACAACATGGTCATTTAATATATATATATATCGATATTATATGTCAGTAAAATATCGACATAGACGTAATCGATATATATCGATATAATATATATTAATAAATATCGATATAGACGTTTAGAAAAGGTCTTTAAGATGTTTATGATTTAGAATGAATGTAAAACTGACATCTTAGAGATGTCTATCAGATGTTTGTGCACAGCAGATGCAGACGTACATGTGCTAACTGGGTAGGCTAGTTCACGCTAACTTGCAATACGACAAATACTTTAACAGTTGGGTGTCTACTGTTTTATAACGAATCTTTAGCAGAAATATTAATAAACAGAAATATCTTATTAACAGAAGAGAAGAGAGACAAATATGGCACATCCTGAGAGGAAGTTACATTTTAATTAAGGCAAATAGCTTGTCAAATTAGCATTTTTTGTGGTGCCTGCTAGCAAAATGAGTCGAATGGCTCTGCAGCAAATAGCTGTACCCTTTGAGATGCATGTGTGTGTGTGTGTGATTAGCGCAATTCACAGGGATGTTATGACAGCTAGCTGAGGGCAAGTTAACCCTTAGCAGAAAAAGCAGGTTAGTAAACAAACTCAAGAGTATCCACTGACTTCATGTCTGCAAACATGACAGAAGACAGACATTATACGCCTAGTAACAAATCAACTTACAATCTGCATGTATTATGCTAACGCTACAGGCTAAATTAAGACATTTGCATGTGGCATCTATATGCAAACATTCTCATTAAATGGATGGTGGCCGCTGGAGCCCGTAGGGCCGCACCTCTTCCTGCCATTCTGAATTGTGTCCTGCCATGCCAAATAAACAAACTGCAAGCCAAATGGATCCATGCCGGCAGGTTTTTGTATGCGTGTCTCAATAATTTGCTAAACAATCAAGCAGAAAATGCTAATAAATCTGGATTTATGGAAGGGCAGCAGTTTGTTCTACTCTGTTTTACTGAAGGATATTCCAGACACTCAAATGGAAATGTAGTGAAACAACCTACATTCTCTATATTTGATTTACACAAACATTTTGCTGTCTGTCATTAAAACTGCACTCAATCTAT